TACAACAATACGATCCGCGTTCAAATAAACGAGTAGCATCAGTGTAAAATATCTACTCAGAGCGGCTATTACGTGCTTATTTGCTGGTCAACGGGGGATAATTGTGGTGTAATCAGCAACATGGCGAGCCCATGGGACGCGCGTAATAGCGCCCTCATCAACGCTCGCCTAGCTTTATTTTAGTTCCTATTATATATATCGAAACTGTGACTTTTGGATATTGCTTTTCTCGTATATATTTCTTAATAGCAAATACAGTTCATTCATTTAGTACTCGTAAATATAATGCCCGTACACTGATCAATATATCTGCCCGAAGTAAATGTTACAGTCTAGTTGTAAACCCTTAAAGGCATAAGTCATCATTGTAGTAGTCCCAGACTTATCTCAAGAATTTTCTTGGACTGTCTCCCACTTGTGGTTTTTGATCTCATAGATTACTAGAAAAAAAATCTTGACATTATTTTTCGCAATACTTTGTCATGATCTCCGCAAATCTCGATGGTTAGTACAAGAATGGTTGCTATTTCTAACGCTTCGAATAGATTACCTAATTACCTCCTATCAATACCAAAATTGCGCTTGCACATACCTTACTCTTGCCCGTTCTCGATTATGTCGACTTCTGTTATTTAGACCTCACTGAAGAGCAATTAAATAAGATAGAGCGTCTTTAAAAATTGTATATATATGCAATATATATTATATATCTTTGTATATATTAGTGTCTATATAATAGTACGCGACCTACACTTTGTCTTTTTTATCATTGTCCTTTACCCAGAGGTTGTCTGAAAAAGTTTGCATAGCAATAAGGCCGTCTTTTGTATCATTTTTATAAATGGTGTAATAAAGTGTGAATGAATGAACAGTACCAAATGAAAAATTTGCCACAAATCTTATTTACTAATCCTGCCATAAACCTATATCTCGAAGTAGATAGGACACTTTCTATTGATAAACCCGCGGTTTATAACTAGTATAGAATAATCCTAGTATTGTGATCTTTTGATAGCAGTTTCATTCAACATTCAACTGTCTGGTATTTTTCCACATATTATTTCGACGGACGGGAAAATATTGTATTGTAACATTCTTATATTTTTTTAGGTACATACATCACGAATACGCGATATAGAGACTTCAAACGAACACTGTCAATATCGGGAACGGAATATTGTATTCGAACCGACAGTTTATTATTGAAGGATTAATACTGCCTACCCCAACTGGGAGGCGAATATGATATTATAATCATGTTAAGATGAAATAATACTCAAATTATATAAAATTACAGAATACAGAAGTATAACAGCTTAGTCCTTAGGAATGGCAATACAAAGATAATTATGTGCGACGCAATGTACTCTATTATGTCTAATATTCACAGGTGACGGTTGTTACTGTTCATCGAGTGGGTCGTCGACTTGTTTGTTATTCTAAATTGTATAAAAAATATATTATGTTGAACTTGAGTAATTAAAGCGGATGATACTGGCGGGTTTTTGCGCGTGAAATTTGACGTCGCATGGATATAGATATCCTTGTAATTCCGTGACTTGATATCCTTATGATTTTAATTTGGAAGGATCAAAAAAGGCGAGCATAAAGTTATTACGCAGAAAGATACCCTATTATAATGCTATATAGACATATAATGCAATGTACAAGTAGGTTGGTCGTATTGTCATAATTAAATTATTAATCTACTAGAATCCATAAAGGTCTTCGTCTCCGCTGCAATTAAAGTTTATCAAAGCTATTCGAACTATCAAAGCTATTTGCAGTAGCATCAACTGCAAACTTAAATGGCGTTGTCGCTAACTTTTGGTATCCCATTTACAATATAGAAATAATACGTTTACTGTTATTATTATGGTCGTTAGTATTCCACTGAAGTGTCAATGTCTCCCACCATTGAGTGCACTTTCTGTTTTGAGTGTAATAAGTTAGTCCATCAAAAATTCAACTTGTTCCACCACCTACATCATTTAAAAATATCCTGAGATTAGAAGGGTTACAAACTTTTATTACACCAATCATAATACGATTCATTTCTGCCTACCTGTGTAACTGTGCTAATATAATATGTATATATATATATGTCTTAAGGCAGCTCATTTTCCATTTTAAGTACCTTAAAAACTGTGCACCCATAAAGAAATGTCTATTAAACTATATAAAATATATCATATAATATAATGATTTATATAAAACATCTTTCTTAATCCTCCTATTCTACAAAACTTCAAAACTAACATTTATAGAATACACACACAAAAAAAAAAGAAAAAACAAAAATAAAGTAAAAACCGACCAAGAGCATCTCAGACATACATTGATAGAATTCTAAAGTTATTTTTAACATTTTAAGTTACTCGCTGAATTCTCTTATTTCTTTCATTAATAGAAACCTATTCATTTCTATTGTCTTATTTTATTCAGATTTTTACATAAAACACTATAGGGAGCTAATACTTTGGTATGGTCCTACATAGCTCGGCGGGAAAGGGATTGTTAGTAATGCTGACTACCAGTCCCATTAGTAGCAATATATCATGTCAGGTCGACCTCTACATGCTCCCCCCCCCCCTCTCCCTGAAAACTATCATGCTGAATTAACTTACAACTGACCTGCTTTTTCATTCTCACCTATCATACCTTACTGATGGCCCTCTAGCATATATCGTTAGCGCAGGCGAAGCTACCATTCCATTATTATCCATTAAAAAAACTATATAGCTATAGAATGAGAATTCATAGAAAAGAGAATTAAATGTATAGGTATATTACTATGTAGCTATATTACGATTTTCATTTATAAATTGCAATAGGTATATTAATTTTCCAATATGTTCACAATTTCAATGTACTCCAACTCCGATAGGAGTTTAATTTTGAATAATTTGCGCACTATTTGATGAGAAATATTTCAATTATAACTAACAAAATTTATAGTGGATAATATTTGTTTGAAACAACACTCGTGAGACACACACATACAACACGAATGACTGTTTATACCTAATACACGTAAATTAAAAAATTAAAGCTTTTTTCAACTAACTTCAAAAAGAAGCAGACTCTCAATTCGTTAGTATTTTTTTATGTTTGTTACCTTATAACTCTAATAAGTAAATATTTTCATAAAAATAAAACATGGGCTAAAGGACGACGAAATAACGTCGAACCTCTCATATAACATGACACGTACAGCTGTTTACGAGTAGAGTATGATAAGATTAACATTTTTTCAACCAACTTCAAAAAAAAGAGATCTTAAATTCGTTTTTTATAGTATTTATTATGTCATAACTCTATCAGTTATAAACCGATTTGGAAGATTCTTTTTTAATTGCATGGATATACTATACAGATTTAGGTATCCCGCAGAAATTTTAAAATCAAAATAATTGGTTTTGTCACAAATGAAGTCAGTTTTTTTTTTTGTCAGATACAATCTTTAATTACTCACACTACTAATATTACGTAATTGTGCACTTAGTCACAGCATCAGTTCTGTGAAACAATCCAAAAATATTGCAAATTGACATTTATAATTCCGATCATTCTACACTTGGACATAAATGCTTTTAATTTTGATTTAGATTAATCTGTATATATTGGTATTCATTTATTAATCTTTCATATACAAATCATCTTTATTTAAATAAACTAGTTTACAAGTACTTTTAAATCGTCATTTTTGTAAAGCTAAATTCGGAAATTTGTTTCCTGGCGAAAAGAGCTCGCAAAAGTTAAGTTTCTTGCGAGCTCTTTTCAGCAGGTACCCTTTAAAATCACTCATATTAGTATGTAAAGATACAAGCAATAAAACACAAACACAAAATCATAAACATCAACAAACACCTTTCACATAACATTAGACATCGTTGAAACCACAAAACAAAACCCTAAACTTGTCATCAACGCAGCAGACGTCACAAATACATCAATGCGGTCGCAACTTTAGCCCGCGATATTCCATTAACTCGGTTTTAATCGTGTTATAATCTACGTCGTCGTTACACGAGCCTACGAACAATGCTTGCCGATAATTACTCACAAGCAACTATTTATTTACGCTCGTCTTCAACTTGGCGTGTGTGTGACAACGTACCTTAATGGGCTCCAATTATGTGTTTTACATTATGACGGATAGCACTCTTCTAATGTCATTTATTAGGAGATTATGATAACAATTTTAGTTAGAAGACAGTAGCTAACATTATCAATCCCTAGTTCGTTATACAGATCCTCAAAACATGTGGTAAACATATTCATCTATATATATTGGTATACGCTTAGAATAGAACAAGAGGTCTTTTTTGATAAATGATAATGAAATTGTAACCCCGCTTGCGCTATCGGTATGCACTGGTGGAGCACCAGTGAGGGATTTATTTTTTATACAACTTAGAATGGCAAACAAGCTGACGGCCAACCTGATGGAAAGTGGTAACCGTCGCCTATAGACATGAGCAGTACCATGGACATAACTGAGTATACTGTTTCGCTCGTGATACCCCCCATGTGTTGCCATTCCTGAGGACTCAGGTGTTATTCCTCTGTACCCAGTAAATTCACGCTATATCCCACTTTTCAAACCGAAACACAGTCATGCAAACACAACTGCTTCACGGACGATAAATAAAAATGAAGCAAATCAGTTAGCAGGTGACAAATTCACTAATGAATCAATTACTCTAGTGTTCAAGGATATCACTAGGAGGTCGACCTGAAAGGGTTTATAGCTAGTAATAGGGATGCTAATCCCTATTACTAAAAATCCCTTCCCCCCAGAACAAGAATAAATTATAATATCGTTTCATCTCATAAATGCACTAGCCTCGTAAATAATTATAAAAACAATTAACAAAATTGAAAAATTGGCAATAAAAATTTGATACAAAAAATATCTATTTTTTTACTGATTTACTAAAGCAAAACCGTAGTAATTAATAAGGGCATTTGTTTAAAGCGAATGTTTTATTCCACAGGTGCAGTCGACGCGGCTACCCCTGCCGACGTTTTCGCCGCGCGCGGTACTGATGTACAGCGCGGCGGTAGGCGGCGAGGGTGCTGTCGCTCTGCAGCTGCGGGAGGCAGCGCCGGGGGAACTGGACGCAGCGCGATTGCACGACGATCGGCTCGCCATCACCTGCAATGAGCCCGAACTGCTCGCTGACTTGCTTCATGCAGCCGCTGACATCGGTGAGTCGTTAGTCTCGTTACTTATTTTATGATACTTAGAATAACAAAAAAAAAATCCACCTGATAGAAAGTAGAAACCATTTTCAATAGACATGAAGAGCACCATAAATGTTATAGGATATATTGTGATGCCCTGCCATGCATTGCGTATCTTGGGGACTATGATACTATGATAATATGTACATCATGTATTTTATTTATTTTATATGATTTTATGTTTTTATATTTGTTCTATAAATATGATTATATACACATGAGATATAGACTACAACGCTGTTTTGCCTTCGTACCCTATAATTTCACTGCCATTTTCCACTTTTCAAATCGAAACACATCCATGTAAGCATAACTGCACAGCAAAAACACGAATGGTTTAGAGACTGACTTTTGTGCAAAGAGTCCCCTGATAGAAACCTTTAACATACAGAGTAAAATCAAAACGATTAGAATTCTTTTAATTCTTTTCGTTTTCTACCAATATTCATATTCGTAGTAATATTTATTTATTTGAAAATTACTCACCACACTTACAGACCCCCCAAACGTGTAGTGAGCCATAGGTTTATTTTACAAACTTACAAATTTTGTACAACATTTTAAAAATATTTCTATTTTGTCATTAAATATATCAATATCTGGCTGCTGAGCAATCAGAGAATTGAGCAGAGAAATAGCCTGATAAGTGGGAGCAAATAAATATATCACGGATACCCTCTAAGATTAAAATGTAAAAATACAAAAGTTCAGTAAGTTACTATTGGTATTCTTTCTATTAAGTCCTCCTTTCTAAGAAAAAATATAAATTATAACAATTATTATTCTGAATTATGCCTTTATGTTTACTCATTGGCATATCCTTGGCAGAGAATTGATGTGTTTGTAAAAAAAAGATATGAACCTAATAGGTCATATTCCTCTTTTTATATAACGTCTTATATAACTATAATTATTTAATAGGGAGTATTACAAAAAGAATTATCAAAATCGATTCACCGTTTGAATCAATTATCGAATATACTGCGTAATGTACTCAAAAAATACAATCGAACGAGAACCTCCTTTTTTTTCAATTTCATATAAATTTTCAATTTCTTATCGTAAGTCGTAACTAAATAATTAATAAAACAAACTGGCTCTAAGTCGTTTTGAACGTAATTATTAAATTAGTTATTTATTAAAAATAAATAATTGTAAAAATGCTTTCATAATTTTATTTCTACATTACATCTGACCAATTTTGTCTTCTGATATTATCAATTATCATATTTTAATATGATATTTAACGTGCAATTTGGATAGTGAATTATCTGATGATCGATTGAAATCAAATCAGTCTCGTGGTGCTTAAATTATCATCCAGATGCGACTGCTGTATGTTTTCAGGATATTTGACTACCGAGAGAAGAATCATGAGTTTAAGCTATTCTGTGACTGTCGAGTAGGTATTTTGAAATTCAAATATCGAATTTTGCATTTGAAACTGGCTTTAAACAGCGTTCGTGTTCACTGGACATAACGTTACCTTACTTGAGAGCTATTTAGAACTAGTCATTGTTACTTTTTATAGAAATGTGCCTGTTTTACTAAGAGACTTACTAGAATTTTATACAGTTCTTTATAAAGAACGTATGAATGAACGTACCTAATTATGAATCGACAACGCGTACGTGATAAACCTGACATTTCAAGCCATATGCTTATATGTTAATACAAATTAATATATCTTAAGTCTCCAGATCTGAAGTCAAATTTAACGACCTAACCTAACCTTAAAGGGGGGAAAGGGATTGTTAGTAATGGGATCTAATTTCCCTATTATTAGCAATACAGGGTGTATTGCTAATTATAGGGAAATCGCTATTATAGGGAAAATTGCTATCAGGTCGACAATTACGCGGTTTCCCCTGGAAACTATTGTGGTTAATTCTGGTGGAATTCGTCGTCGGCTAACTGACCTGCCTTTTAATTCTCACCTATCATCCCTCACTGGTGTCCCACCAACATATACCATTAACGCAGGCGGGATTATCATTTCATTATAACCCATTAACAAAAAAAAAACTCAACCTCAAGGGGAAAGGAATTATTAGGAATGGGGACTAACAGCCCCATTGCTAGCAATATACCCTATTAGGTTGACCTCCACGCGATTCGCCCTGGAAACAAACGTGGTTATTCCTCGCTGGTACCCCGCCTACGTATACTGTTAGCACAGGCGAAGTTACCATTACATTATCATCCATTAATAAAAAAACCTATCCTTAGAGCGATAAAGACTCTTCGCGAAGAGGATATATATAGATCTACCTACTACTTTTTTTATTCATTCTTTTACATTTTACTTTGATCGTAATGCTAAGAGTAAATACATTACACACTCTATATTCTGTATAAACAGAAAAAAGTATTCAATTTATTTTTTAAACTTGATCTTTCATAAGGTCAGAAATACTAACATTAGCAGACATGCAATTAAACAAAATTGGTAGTCCAGCAGAATAACAAAACTTCTTTTGCCCGTTCTCAAAGTCAACTTCCTCGAGAGATTATGAATATTAAAAATAAATTCACAAAGGCGTTGCTATGGAAAAAAAAACACTCATTCTAACACAATACTTTAATCCGCTTTAGAACAATGAGAAAATGATTTAACAGCTTCCTTTTTCTGGCAATATTGTTTTTTTTTTTACTTTTAATTTCCGTATTAAGTACATTTTATTTGTAAATGAAGTATTACGATTTATTAATTTATGTACCATTTCCATAGATTAATATTTAAGTCAGACTAATCTGTATACATGTAATAAAATTGTAATTAGACGGTATTTATGATTTTTAATATATTACGTAAAAAATAAGAATGGGCTATCCCTTCTTTTCCCGTGGGTGACGTAAGAGTCAACTAAGGGAACTTATAACCGAGGGATCGCCAGCAACGTCCCTCCTAAAACATGACCAAAACCTAATTGCAGTTACCAACCCACCTGCTAAGCATTGCAACTGACAAACCTCCTCTTATGAAGAGATCTGTGTTCAGCAGTAGATAGTTGACAGCTAAAATAATGATGATGATGTACTGGGTATTTTCAAAACTCCGAAGTAGTAAAAAATTCTTTTGACTGCAAATATTCTAATATATGGTCACAAAAAAAATGTACTTCGCTCATGTTAAAACTAATGGATCGATGGATGAAATTAGTAAAGAGGTTGCAAAGCATACATGCAACAAAATTCATAGATTTTTTAATGAACAACAATGGAATGGTAGTTCCGCCTGCGCTAACGGTATACACTGGCAGACCACCAGTGAGGGATGACAAATTAAATGAAAAAGCAGGTTAGTTTTTTTACGATGGGTTATCGTAAAAAATACACCAGGAATTTAACACGATGGTTTCCAGACGGAACCACGTGGAGGTCGACCTGACATACTCTATTAGGTCGCCATTACAATGTATTGCCAGCAATGGATAAACATGTTAATCTAACTTTATGATTTTATCATTCAAAAATACTTCTGGCCGCTGAAGAAACAATAATGGTATTAGGTGCAATTAAATACAGACATAAATATTGCTGATTTAATTCATGTTGGCAATATTTACTTTATAATTGAGTGTATTGTTATAACATGTTATATTATAACATATTATATTATAACATGTTATGTTATAATTAAGGAAATCATATATTAATTACATATTTCTCCGAATACATTCAAATTAATTCAAATAAAATTCAATTATTAAACAAATATTGGTATTTTAGGCTTCTGCAACCGAATATCCAAAACGAAACCATGTCGTAACCCGGTTATTTATAGGTCTTTTTTTATACACTTAAAACTGAAAATTTTTACATTCAAATATTTAATGAGAACATTATTTTTTCAAATCCCGCCCAATAGTGTCGAAACGCATTTCGAATTCTTCTAAATTCTATCAGAAATACTATAAAATACATATAAAAATATGAATTAAGTATATCGTAATGATAATAGAGTAGCTTAAAATAAATCACTACAATACAAATTATTATGAAGCGGTTTACTTTTTTTTATTTAGTCTTTATAATCGCTTCAGCTTCAGAAATTGGACATTAGCGACTGAGTTATAACAACAAATATAGCCCAAATCTTAATGATTATTTGCTCAATGCTTTGAGCCCTATAATGGCAGTATTATATTCTTTTTCTCTTTCTGTAATTACACGGTCGTAGTCGACGGTGCATGCTCTGATTTAAAACCTTTGAATGCTGGTGTCCCGCAAGGCTGTGTACTATCTCCGACTCTGTTTCTTCTGCATATCAATGATATGTTACAGATAAGTAATATTCATTGCTATGCGGACGACAGTACAGGAGATACATTATATACCGGTCATGCAAAGATCTCGCGGGCACATACCGATGAGTGCCGGAATAGACTTGTGTCTGAAATCGAAACTTCACTCCATCAAGTTTCGATCTGGGGTGAACAAAATCTTGTCCAATTTAACCCCAAAAAGACACAAGTCTGCGCGTTTACCGCAAAAAAGACGCCGTTTGTCGTATCTCCTCACTTTCAGGGCACTTCCCTTGATAAAAAGTCAAGTCTAGGAATTCTGGGCGTTGATATATCTTGCGACGTCCAGTTTTGCGGTCATCTGGAGGAGAAGGCTAAGATAGCTTCCAAAAAGTTAGGGGTGCTCAATAGGATGAGACGATATTTCATGCCAGAACACCGCCTGAAATTATATAAAGCCCAAGTCAGGCCGCATATGGAATACTGTTCTCACCTGTGGGCAGGAGCGCCACAGTACCAACTCCTTCCGTTAGACCGCATTCAAAGTCGGGCGGCTCGAATTATCGATAGTCAACGCCTTACTGTCCGACTTGACCCATTGAAACTGCGCAGAGATGTTGCGTCTCTGTGTTATCATGACCGAATTTATCATGGGGAGTGTTCTGAGGAATTGTTCGGATTGATACCTGCTGCTGATTTTCACCACCGTACAACCCG